GGAGAAAAAGAACACCAAAGGCAATCTGGCCGCTCTGATATGGCTGTACTCCACAGGTACGAGCCAGATTAGCAGAGGCAGGGTGGTGGAGTGGTGGAGGAGGAATTATAATAATTAGGAAACCAGGAGATTCTAACAACCGAATGCACCGTGAACCAAACCTAATGCAGAACTCATCCAGAGCCGCTGGGACTTTATTCTGCCATTCTTAAGCAAAGAGCCTGGACTTTTGGGAGCCTTGGTTTATCCATCTACAGAATGGGGCAGAGGTGCATTTCTTCCACAGGTTTGTGAGACCACTGCCCCAAGTAAGGCAACACTTGGGAAGAGCTTCTGGGATAACCCAGCTGGGTCCTTCTGGCAAGAGAACTTTCCTGGGATCTCTATGTCTGGGAGGCATTGGCAGTGTTGAGGTGAACCTGATCCTGTGCTGGGAAACAACCCCCACTCCCACCTGTCCCTCCCCAGCTCTGAGGCACAGCACAGGAGCACAGGAGGGGGGCTCAGCATCCCTGCCCCCCCCCTTGTCCGCACTCTGCCTCCTGCAGCCTCAGTTTCTGCCTCCTCAGCAAGTAGTGAATAGACCAATTAGCCAGGACTTCCTGCCATTATCTGCTGTAGACTTGGGCATTAGTGCGCCCTGATTCACCGTAATTTCAAGTCAGAACACACTAAAAATTTCACTCACCGAGGCATTAAAATGTTCCCAGGCAACATCTGTGTTTGTGTATCTGGGTTCTTCTCTGGGTGTCTGATCCATGCCAGCATCACACAGGTCAGAGAGATAGTCCAGGTCAGGGAGACACTTTTTTTTTTTTTTTTTTGCTCCTGTGTTAGTTTTTATATTTTTAAAGCAAGCATTATATTGTTTGCCGATATTTGCAAACTTTGTTTCTGGGACCTCACTGTAGCTAATATCTAGCAGTGTAACTTTCTCCTTCTGCCTGACCAGGGGCAGACTGGTGGCTTAGAAAGGCTTGGGAGGGAGTGCTCGCAAGATCACAGAGAGGTTTTGTTTCCTAGACATGCTTCACACTGGAGATTAGAAGCTGGGTTATCATGAAGTGCATTGCTCTGCACTTCGAACCATGCAGAAGGCTCACCCCACTCTGCAGGTGGGTAGTAGTAGAGATGGGTCAGGGCTGCACAGCCCACTTGGAGCTTGCTCCTGCTCTTTGTCCTGACAAGGGTATGGAGTTCCCATATAATGAATCTGCACTAAAATGAAATGAGATCTTGGAGCAAAACCACAGGTTTCCTGGGAAGTATGTCATTTCTTCTAAGGGTGCTATTCCCGCCCCTGGCTGATTAAAAGAACTGAGGTAACCACTGTTAGCTTTGTTTCTCTTTATGACCCAGGCCCATGGTTTCTAGGATATGTAAGGGAAATTGAAAATGCTTTTGACTCCTTTTTTTTTTTTCAGTGAGGAACAGGCCAGTGAGAATGGTGGCCAGTGAGACTGAAAGGCCTAGTGGGCTCTGGTTCCAGCTGGTCCAGGCAGCTTCAGCTAGGGAAGGAGAGGGTGAAGGATGCTTCCAGAAAAGGGTGGCTGGAAATCCAGGTGTGCCCGGAGAGGCAGAGGAGGGGCTGGCATAAAAGGAACTGGCTAGAGTTCTTGGCAAGGGCAGTTCACCTCAGGGTAGTCCTCAGGGCAGTCTTCTAAGGCACTTTGGAAAACCACCCCTTTCAGAGCTGAACTGGGGATAGGGAGTGAGGAGAGGAGTCGGGAGAAGAGGTCCGCAGATCAAAGGGTGGTGATAAAAGAGTCCGTGCTAACTTTGGCCCTCGGGTTCTGCAAGGTCTGTGATGAGCCAGGAGAACTCACCAGCCTTCCCAATTCCTGATCTCACCTTCCAGTGACCCCAGGCTCTTCCCTGGAGTCTGTATGTTCCTAGGCTGGGGGGTATGACACTAGCGAAATTCTAAACATTGAAGTCAGCCAGGCCTGAAGGAGGATGGTCTGCATCCCTCCAGGTCCAGCACTCTCGGAACTTGCTCTGTGTCCTCCTGAGTTTAGACAGCCTGGGAAAACACACCACCACCACCACCACCACCACCACCACCACCACCACCACCACCACCACCACCACAAGCTTTAGTCCGGCTCTGGGTGAGCGCGCCACATCCTCCAGCCTCATTTTCCCCAAGGGAAGCCTTAAAATTTTGATCTGAGATTGTACCACACTAACTCCCATGAATGTTCCATAGGGCTGATATGTCAATCTTCTTGGGCCTTTCTCTATGAGGCTGAGGGTCGGGGAAGGGGGTTGATTGTTTCAGTTCTGGAAACAGTGGCAGGTGTGCGGAGGGAGGTACAGAGAAGGCTGGCTTCTATCCAGTCTCCCAGGCACGCCTCCACGCTCCTAGCTTTCTTGTTAATGGCTATTGTATATTGTACCTGCGGCATTCCACAGGAAGGGAAGCACATGAGTGAGTAAAAGAATCAGTGCTGGCCTGACCTGCGAACTTGGGCACATGTAGCTCTGTCCTGAGTTCTTGTATACGTCCAGGTGTAAAAGACAGATTGTACATATTTTTTCTTTAAAAATAGGTTCTGTTTTTATGTGTCAGTTATGTGTATGTTTGTGTCTGTTTGTGGGTACACAGGTGAGTGCAGGTAGGTACCCGAGGAAGCCATAAGAGGGAGTAGTTTCCTGGAGCTGGAGGTGGTGGTGAGTGTGGGGACCCAGCTTGAATCCTCTGCAAGAGCAACAGTAAGCTCTGAACCGCGGCCCCACCTGAACCATTGATCAACTCCCCCCAACATCTTATTCTTTTGTGGTTGTTTATATAAATCAACACTCTCCTTTTTCAGTAATGAGAAGAGGCTCAATTGCAGGCTATATTCAGTAACTTACTTTAATGCAAGACCCTAAAAAGACAACCTGACTGGGCATGGAGAGAAAATGACTAGGAGTCAACTGAAAAAGTTTACCGGCCTTTAATCCCAGCCTCCTTTGGGTAGGAGAGTTCTCCCTCACTGCTCCCCCAAAACCTCACTGGGTCCCTAAGGTTGATGGAGAAGGGAGCTACCTGGAGGTACAGGGCTGGGAACTCTGCTGGGACCAGACCTTTGATCTCTCCCTGAGCTTCTGGTAAGCCCCCATCTCAGTCTTAGGCTGCCCCAAAGCCAGCTGGGCTGGGTCAATAGACACTGGGAACAGGAAGAGACCCAGCATGCTCACTTCACACATTGTAAAATGCACAAAGATCCCAGTTCCAGATAACTCCCAGTATTCTCTTCACTCCTGCCTCTCAGCGAGCAATTCACCAGGCACCTCCAATGTGCATTAATTTATTCTCAAACAGAAACAGAATATATGATCATGTTCAAACCCTTTGACTTCAGAAGTGTCTGTTTGGCCCAACCCCCACTTTGCCAGACAAAGAAATAAATCCATTAAGTCTGGCACGCAAGTCTGGCATGCAAAGTTCCCACTTGGCCAAAGAGGCTCTTGATATTGTCTCACTCAGCCCACAGATGGTGGGGGACTGGTAGGGTTATGGCCTGGTGGGTTCTCAAACTCCAGACAGTGGAAAGGGATTTAGGGGCTTTGGGAGCATATCACCTACACAGCAAATGGACAACGAATTCCTCTATTCAGATGAATTTACTGAGAAACCTGTTCCTAAACTCAGTAGACCTAACACGACCTCATCAACAAAAATAACTCTGCTGTAGCAGGTCAGAGGGGATGCAGGTCCCCTGAGGTCTACCTCTGGAAAATCTCACCTCTTCCATCTTGAACAATTCCTTTTGGGATCAGTCAGCTAACTCTCATCTAGAAAAGGCTGGACCCTGGGGAAGGGGAGCAGCCCAGCACCCTTGCTTGCCTGAGTTGGAACTCCTTCATAGGAGAAGAGGCAGGGCATCTCAGTTCTCCTTTAATGCAGCTTCTCCACAGAGCCATGGGATGAAGAACCAGGACAAATACAGACGAGAAGCTTCATGGGCATCAGCTGTGGTCCCCCAAACCGGACCTGGTCTCGGTTTCTTTGAACCTGTGCTCTAGAAGACAAAGCTGATAAACCCTCTTTTTGCATCATAATGAAGATTAAAGGTGATAATTACAGAAAACACACAGAACACAGCAGGTATTCACAGAACAGAAGTGCTCCCACTTAGAGGCAGGGCTGCATTTTAATCACCCCAAACACAGCACCTAAAGACAGCAACTTTGTAGACATGGTGCGTGTGTGTGTGTGTGTGTGTGTGTGTGTGTGTGTGTGTGGCTAGCGGCTGGCCTTTGCAAAGCTGTGTAGCATTTACTCCAAGTGGCTCCTGCTCTGTTCCCGACTTTCCAGCCAGTACTGTGCACCTGGGAACCACCCTGTCATAATGGAAAAGGAATCCCACTCATCGGAACAGAATCACTGTGTTAGTTTCTCCAGAATAAAAAAAAAATCTCTTGAGGAGAAAAGTATAGTCTTTATATTTATCTTTCAAAATATCTTAAAACAGCCTTGCCTGATACTTTTTTTTGGCGGGAGTTGCTTTGTTTTGAAATAGGGTTTCTCTGTGTAACAGTCTTGGCTGTCCTGGAACTAACGCTTGTAGACCAGGATGGCCTCGAACTCAAGGAGATCCCCTTGCCTTTGCCTCCTGAGTCCTGGGATTAAAGGCATGCACCGCCATCACAGCCAGGCCCTTGTCTATTACTTTTAAGTTCATCCAGCACCGACTGTCTTGTCTTAGGGATTCCCTGCCCCTTCCTGACCCACTTCTGCCCCTTTATTAACCTCTCACCTGCTTGAGTAGCCAAGCTTCAGGAACCTGGAACTCCCTCCTACTTTTTCCTCCTATTTGGGGAAGATACTTGAGGGTGGAGCTAGCGACAAAACCCTGTTAGTGACCGATTGATCTCCCAATCTACTTACTGATTGGTTAAACTTAGAATAAAAATAAAAATTAAAAAACCTGGAAGGGAGCTCTTTTATTGTAAATATTTGATGTGTATGTAGGGTGAGGTCTGGAGGAGTCACACTCTGAATCTTGCGCAGTCGGAAGCCCTCTCCTGATTTTCCTGGACGCGGCCGGCAGGAGGAGGCGAGAGCCTGAATGTGGTTCCCAGAGCCTTGGGTAGGGCGCAGTCTGAGGGTGCAGCCCTAGGCAGACTCCCGCAAAGCCTTACCCCTGAACGCCCACGAGGCGAGGAGAAGCTCCGCCAAGAGAACTTTGTCACTTAGGTCCTGCTCACTGGCACCTGAACGAACGACTTCAAGCCAACGTGGGTCTCTCACTCGAAGAATTGAAAGACTGTTCTCTCCACCCTGACAGGGGTAGGTGGACCGGGGTGAGGGATTGGGGGGATTGGGAGGTGTAAGCTCTTGACAAAGATTTGTGGGCGTCAAACACCATATTTATACACACCGGAAACCCTGAAACAAACATCTGCAACGCAGGAGATTTTCCGGGGGTCGTGGGGGGGGTGCAGATTTGAAGGTTCTACCTACAAAGGTTTGGTGACTGGGACTCAAACCACCTTGAGGCGCCCAAGACTCAGGAACGGGGAGCGGGGAGATTCTGGTCTTCAGTGTGCCAAGCTCAAGTTCTCGGTTTGAACTCCCAGTGGGCACCAGGGGTAAGGAACCACCTAGTTCCCCAGTGTAGAACAGTCCACAACTCTGGCAAGGGCGCAAGAGTTACTGGAGGAAGATAAGATTTTGGCCTCTGGAGGAACAAGGTGCAGGGACTTTCACAGGGAACCGAGGTTACCAGCGCCCGCCACTCTCTCAGCTCCAACGAAGCAGCAAGCCTGCATTCAGCCTCCAAACTCCCACCCCATCTTTGGTTCCCCCACCACTGCTGCTCACCACCGGCTACTTAGGACCTGGGGGCGCAGGGGCGGGGCGGCAGGAGAACTGGACTGTGACAGGTGCGCCCCTCCGCCAATCGCCGGACGGACACCCCTCCCTGGGTCCCCGCTGCTCTCGCCAATCCCAGACCGCGCTGAGCTTCAAGTGTGCGGAGGGGCGCGGATCCCCACCAAGGCGCCAGCGGCCTCGGTGCTGTCGCTTGAGTGCTAGAGAGCATAGAACCGGCCTCCCCAACCTAAACTCGCAGAAGCGCTCGCGTGGGAGTTTGTGCTAGTGAGTGGAGCGCGGTCGCCGCAAGCGAGGACCGCAAGGAAGAGGCGTCTGGACCATGGTCGCTCTCGGCTGAGTTTCCGACTGCGACTTTGATTATTGGCAAATAATCGCAGTAAGAATACCGAGCCCCAGGGCTGGTCACCTTCACGCTCAGTCTCCGCAAGCCTGCACGCGACCACGTCGCCCACCCTTGGGCACTTATTCTCAGCTCCAAACGAGCCGATGGAAAAATCCAAAAATTTCCGCATCGACGCCCTGCTGGCGGTGGATACCCCGCGAGCCGCCTCCACTCAAAGCGCGCCGCTGGCCTTGGTCACTTCGCTCGCGGCCACATCATCTGGCCCCGGTCGAAGCGGCAGCGGTGGCGGGGGCACCAGTAGCGGAGCGAGTCGCAGCTGCAGCCCCGTGTCCTCGGAGGCCACCACAGCGCCCGGCGACCGGCTGCGGGCTGAGAGTCCGTCGCCCCCGCGCTTGCTGGCTGCGCACTGCGCTCTGCTGCCCAAGCCTGGATTCCTGGGCGCCGGAGGAGGCGGCGGCGCGGCGGGTGGGCCGGGCACTCCCCACCACCACGCGCACCCGGGTGCCGCCGCCGCCGCCGCCGCGGCTGCTGCTGCCGCCGCTGCAGGCAGCCTGGCACTGGGGCTGCACCCGGGGGGCGCGCAGGGCGGCGCAGGCCTTCCCGCACAGGCGGCTCTCTACGGTCACCCGGTCTACGGTTACTCGGCGGCAGCGGCAGCGGCTGCGCTGGCGGGCCAGCACCCTGCGCTTTCCTACTCCTACCCTCAGGTGCAAGGCGCGCACCCTGCGCACCCTGCCGACCCCATCAAGCTGGGTGCCGGCACCTTCCAGCTGGACCAGTGGCTGCGCGCGTCCACCGCGGGCATGATCCTGCCCAAGATGCCGGACTTCAGCTGTGAGTACCTGCGCAGCACCCGGGCAGTTCTCTCGCGCATCCTCCTTTCCCGCACCCCCTTCCCTTCGGCCTCGGCTCTCAGCAACCAGTGCAAGTGCAGCGAAGCCGCCACGGCTTATCCCTTGGCCTGTGAGGGCCTCGCGTGGGCCGCGTGGCGTGAGAGGAGCAGCGAATTATTAAGATGGCTACGCTCAGGCCTTGCTTTCTCTTTCTCTCTTAATGGGCAGGGGAGGTTAGAGATGTGAGACTGAAACCTAATGATTAACTTACAGGTTGGAGAAGGAAGTGCGCAGGAAGGTTAGCAAAAGAGGGCCTAGCCAAAGATGGGGCAGGTTTTAGGGTCATTGTAACTTGGTACTTATCACCGGGGAACATGAACTTGGTTAGGGGCTCCATAACTGGCTACGAAAAGACAAGACACATCACTGGATCCAGTAGCTAAGGAGAAAATGGACTCCTAGAGTCGCGGGGCTACAAGACCAGGGCCCAAGCTCTTCTCTGTTCCTTGTCAGGACTCTGCCTTACTCTGAAGGGCCAGGGTATGTGGTGTGTGTGTGTGTGTGTGTGTGTGTGTGTGTGTGTGTGTGTGTGGTGGGGTCCCTACATACAGTGTCCAAGACATCTGTTATGAACAGACTCAGGGACTCTAAATAGCAAGTCTCCTCCTAGGAATTCCAGGTGCCCAACACCCTTGGGAGCTCCTTCCAAGGTGGGAGCAAAGGTCCAGCCTGCTGCGAAATCTCTGCCACCCAAGAGGGGCAACCTTTTAGGGGCCACTCCAGACATCCCTGGCACACGCTGCAGCTGCATGTGTGTAGGGCACCCTGGCTCTGACTCTTGCCCTGTGCCCCACATGGGTAGGGCAAGCTGCCTTTCCATTCAGGCCAGAACAGAAGATGTATATGACTTTCCCCTGTCAGCCGCCCAACACCCAAACAAAGAGACCCCATTGTTTCCGTCTGAGTGGGTTTGTTTAGACTGGGGAGATGCAGGCACTGGAGGGAAAAAAGGCAAAAAAGAAAACAGAAATAAACACTTGCCAGAATTCCGATTCCTCTGCTAGAAGCAATGGTTGTGACTAAACAGAGAGTGAGGACCCCGGAGAAGTGCAGAAGTCGCAAGGTGGTGAGAGAATCCCCGCCAGCACACTTGTTTGCTCAGAGCCACCCGGGTTTTTCCCAGCCTGGCTCCAAGAAGGCCAGCCTTGTTGATCTCGGCAAAGAGGGAAGGCAAGGCTTCCATTAACCTCAGTTGGGGGCTGCAGCTCAGTTGTCTTGGAAATTGTTCCTATTCTGAAAGTCCTGGGCAGGATCTAAGCCCGGGAGGAGCATAGCCCGCAGCTTCAGATGGAAACCTACCCATAGGGGTCCGTAATGGCTGCACGTTCTAGGCGTGAGATGCATAGGTGCCCAGAGAGGAGCTGGTCACTGGTCACCAACAGACCTCTGTGTCTTTGGGTTTCCTGACCACTCCAGTGCTCTTCTGGGGGAAAAGGATGTTTTTCCGAGGAGCCCAGGTTCACTCAGAATTCCTGCAAGTTGGACCCCTTTGTCACCACACCCAGCCCATAGCATCTCATGGTCGCTACATTAAAAGTATGGTCAGTTCTACGTTAGGAAAAGAACCCAAACCCCAGACCGTGGACAGGCACTGAGGAATGCAGCAGAGGGTGGGTGGCTGAATGTGTTCTATTCCTGGACTTCCCTCTCACCTGGGAAAACAGGCTTGGTTTTCTTTAATTGGTTGTTTCTACCCACTAGATGGCATTTCCCAATGATCCCTTCCGAGGCAGTGTTTTAATTAGAGTTCTAATGTATTGTCAAGTTGGGAATTCGTAGCCTTGTTTAACTAAAGCAGGGGGCGTGGACCTTCCTATAAAGCAAATTGCCCATCCCAGGGGAGCCTGAGCTCATCCCAGCCAGGGGCTGGCCTCTTTCTTTCCTTTGCTTTCTTTCTTTTATTGTCTAACACTCTTTGGACTCCTGGGAAATCAAGGGAAGTCTCGTTTTGAGGTCATAAAATTCTCTGTGATGTAACCGTGCGAAATTATGTAAATAAAGCTGGACAGATCTCCTGGAACACACAGAAAGCCAGATCCACTCACAGCTCAGCCTTTAATTTGAGTAATGAGAATCGTCCGAACAGGCTTCCGTTCCCTTTGCCCTCTGCTCTGGGAGGAGGAGGGAGCTCGTCAAGACCAACGTGAAGACACCCTGATGAATATGCTTATTTAGGCTCCAGCTCTGGTCTTAGCCTTCTCTCTTCTCTTCTCTTCTCTTCTCTTCTCTTCTCTTCTCTTCTCTTCTCTTCTCTTCTCTTCTCTTCTCTTCTCTTCTCTTCTCTTCTCTTCTCTTCTCTTCTCTCTCTCTCTCTCTCTCTCTCTCTCTCTCTCTCTCTCTCTCTCTCATCTTAGTGTTCATACAGGCGGCCACTGCAAGCAATCAACAGGCCCTATTTATTTAATCAAGACCCTCAAATAATGAAAAGATTGTCTATTGAGACAAACCCTCCACTTCTGCTTTGGTGTCTGAGATGTGGCTCCTCTGGTTCGTGGGGAGGAGACACTGACGTTGAAAAAGAAGCCCATGTCCTGAGGGTGGGCGCTGGAGGCTGGGCCCTGGGAGGGACAAGGGCAGCAATGGCTGGAACCAGGATAGTGGAAAACCTACAGAGACCTCTCACCCTTTTGGTCCACAGCCCAGGCGCAGTCGAACCTCTTGGGGAAGTGCCGAAGGCCTCGCACTGCTTTCACCAGCCAGCAGCTGTTGGAACTGGAACACCAGTTCAAGCTCAACAAGTACCTGTCCAGACCCAAGCGTTTTGAGGTGGCCACCTCGCTCATGCTCACCGAGACCCAGGTGCGCACCTGATACCCCGTCCCCCTGAGCAGCCAGTCCCCACAAAACGCCCAGGCGGGTAGTAGTTTGGGGAACTGGGTCCCAGCTTCTTGACCTTCAGGTTGGGTATGAAGTCTCAGTGGGACGGGCTCTAGGTAGACCCAGGCGTTTTCCCACGCTGGAGGTTTGATTCAATAGGTTGGGGTAGAGGCTGAGGATCTGTATTTAACAGGTTATTCTGGGGAAGGTGACCCCCAGGCCACATTCTAGGTGATTCTTTTTCTAGAAAGGTGCGGACTTAGCATTTAGAGACCTGCCAGCTGCCCCGGTGTCTCGATAGACCAAGGGTATGGAGTGAAACACTCCCAGCTGTGAGTTTGGGGCACCACACCCAGCTATGGAGTTACTGAAGAATAGAGTGGATGTAGGGGCGAGGAAATCGAGAGGCCGCTACCCAGTCAGCTTCTTAGTCCTCTAGGTAGTCCCTTCTAGGGTGAGGGTGGGCCGAGGGGCAGAGGTCCCGGGTGCTCACACCCTCTGCATCCGTGATGATGCAGGTGTCGGGTTTCTCACGCCAACTTGTGCCTGCAGGTGAAGATTTGGTTCCAGAACCGCCGAATGAAATGGAAACGCAGCAAAAAAGCCAAAGAGCAGGCTGCGCAGGAGGCGGAGAAACAAAAGGGTGGCGGCGGGGGCACCGGCAAAGGCTGCGCTGAGGAGAAAGCCGAGGAAGAGCTGCTGGGGCCGCCGGTACCCGGGGACAAGGGCGGCAGCCGTCGCCTGCGGGACTTGCGAGACAGTGACCCAGATGAGGATGAGGATGATGAAGAAGACGACCACTTCCCCTACAGCAATGGCTCCGGTGCCCATGCCGCCTCGTCTGAGTGCTCATCCGAGGACGACTCTCCTCCACCAAGGCCCGGTGGGCCCGGGCACCATCCTCCGCCTCAGTAGTTGTCCTAAGCGCGGCAGCAGGGACGCGCTGGACGTTTCCAACCCCATCTGTGGCCTGCATCCATCTGACAGCCTGTCTCCGGATCGTGCATTCAGGTGCGGGCTCGGGTGGGCGATCCTATTTGGGCTCTTGAAGGTCAGCAAGAGAGAGAGAGGAGAGCTCCACTGTGAACTTTTCGTTCTTTTCAATTTAATTTCGGGTTGTGTTGGCCGGAGGTGCTTGTGAGACAAACCCATCCCTTGAGAAGTGGCTCCTGCCTGGCTCTTCCTTCATCGGAGAAGGGAAAACTTCAGTGTTAAGTGACCTAGAAACTTGAAACCTTTGGAGACACCATTCTGTTAAGAATTAAAAACAGAAAAAAAAAAGGTTTTATGCCTATGTATGGGGGATATTATGTCATAAGCATTCAGATTGCTGAAAAATCTCAGAATGGTAGTGTATTTTTGTATATTGTATTTATATATAAAGAAAGAAACGTCTACTTATGCATGCTAAATTATTATTTAGCTTCCCCATTCCCCAGGGTGGAGATGGAATGTAAAATAAATTGGTTTTGTACTGGATGAGAGTGGAAAAAAAACCCTTTAATTTTGGAAGGTGGAGGATTGACCCCAGGGCCATGGGCAAGCTAAGCAAGTGCTGTGCCACTGGTCCACACTGCCAACTCAGGAAGAGCAAACCTCGGGGGCCTGGCTGTTTTGGTTGTAGGGGTGGCGGACAGTGTCTACTTAGTGATTATCAGCAAAGGGTGAAAATCAGAACAGCAAATGGATGTCAGAATCACCTCCATGCCCGGGGGAGGGCCCCCAAGTCTGAACTTAATTCCAGAGGCTGAAGGTGCAGGAGGGGGTGGGGACCGCAGGTGTGAAGTGTGGCTAAAAATATCAGAGGCCAGGTGTCAGAGTGAGCCCAGTGTCTGGCTTAAACCCTGTGCTGTTCGTGACGGAGTGATTTTGAACACTGTGTTTATTTCCCATTTACTTGCTGGATCTTTTAGCTTTATTGGCATGGGAATATAGTATTTAAATATTTCGGAGAATAAGCTGCCAACAACTAGGTGTCAGTGGCATTTGGGGTCCCAGGGCTAAGCAAGCACATTTCCCGGAAAAGCACTTAATGGCGACTTGCAGCGTGTTCTCCTTTTGACTGGGGCCCCTCAGCCTGCACGACATCCCTTGAGCTAGCCTGGAACGATTTTGCTGGATCTGTACAAATGTCTTCTGAGAGGAAGCGGCAGGCGGCAAGAATGCATCCATGCCAGGGCCGCAATGGCTCTGGGTTAATAAACCTCTGCAGCGAACGCCATCAATCATCAGTCCCCGGACCATGTGCGGCACAGATGCCGGGCCCAGACCTAGGCGCATCGGTCCTCAGCATCTTGACTCTGGCCAGGGAACGCTGAGTCTTCCGGGTCTGGTTCAATCCCCCCACCCCCACCCGCCACCCCGCCGCCGTTCCCCATTCCTCCTTGGCTGTCTTGGTGGCCAGCTTTCGACTGAGACCTCTCTTGGGTCTTCCTCCGTTCCTTCACTTTCTCTGGGTGTGGGCGAGCAGCCTCCTCCCTCTTGCTTCTGCCCCCCCCCCTCCCCAGCTGCTGAGAGTTCAGAGGGGCCTGGAGTTTCATTTGGGTGATTACAGCGGGGCCAGCGGGGCACTCCTCCACCTCAGAGCCAAGCCAGATTAATATCCTCCTGGCAGCTCATTATCACCCTGGGCTCCTTCCGTAAAATTCAAGTCGGCTCAAGCCAGCGTGGGACTGGAAGCCAGGCAGGGCAGCTGCTGAGCGCCACGCGAGCGATGGACCGGAGTCCCTGCAGCCTTCCGATCCAAACGCTCTTTGGGGCGAATTCGGACTGAGTTTACAAATGGTAAAGGGCTGAAGGAAAGGAAATGGGAAAATCTGAAAGGAGTGGATGAAAGAAAGAAAAGTACATGCTTTTAAAAAAAAAAAAGACGTATGTATCTCTTTTTAATTTCTAACGCGTTGGCGAGGTTCAGCCCGAAACAATCTCTTCGCAGTCTGGCACCACCTCTGGGGGTTATTTCCCTCCGAGGATGGCCATCCCAGTCTCAGAGCCTCGAGCCCTAAACCCTGAGTAAACAAGAAAAGGTAGGCCTGGAACTGGGACGGAAGGGTAACAACTGACCTGGGAACTCAGGGTACCCCCCCCCCCCCACTTCAAGAAAGAGACACTGCCCGGGAACAAAGGCCAGCGGAACGCTGGGGGAAGAAACAACCACAAGAACAACCCATTCCATTTCTCCCCACTAGGGTACAGCAGGGCAGAGAGCCTCTAGTTTGGCGCGCAGATCCGCCGGCGGCCTCAGTGTCTCAAGCCAGCAGCTTAATCGCATCGGAATTTATCTCGCTAATAAATTTAATGATCAATTCGTTCTTGTCACTGTAGCTCTTCCCCAAATCAATTATAGCAAATTTAAATATAATCACTGCCTCATCCTAGCTTACTCCGGGCACGGTGCTCATTCATTCCGCCTAAGGAACTGCCTGGAGGCCTCCTGGCGCGCGTGGAGGGCTGCGCCCCCACTCAGGGTCACCGACTTGGCTGTGCCACCCACAAGGACCGCCCTAGGCCTCTCCTCCGTCCTCACTTGAGACTCTGTGGCCCTGGGCTAGGGTGGTGGGGCTAGAAAATGGCTTTGCAGTCTCAAGGATTGGGTTCCCAGAATCACAAGCCAGCTAGGTCTACACAGTGGGCATCCTGATGTCGGGAGTTCGAATTCCAAGCTTTGTACTCACATATCCTCAGGTGACCAAGCGCGCAGCTGGCGATGCCTGGTCCCTATGATGTGTCTCTTTACAGTGCGTCTGTAGAGCGGTTCTGCAGCCCTGCTGTGTGATGTAGTCTGGATTCGTCTAGAGAGCCCCCCCACCCAAAACTGACCAGGACTCCCATAACTCTGATGACCGATTTCTTTAGTGATCCAATAAAATAATCTACACCCTTTCCAGCCCCCGAGGGCAGTGAGAGGTTAATAGTATAGAGTCTGGAAGCCCAGGGCAACTACAAGTAGAGGAGATGGGTCTGCTCTTTTCATGTTAGCCCTCCCCAGCCCAGTGCCCAGTTTGGAGAGGAAAGTTTATAATTTTATGAGCCCCAAAACGCGGACAAGAGAAGCAAAAATAGGCAACTGGGAGTCCATCAGTGAAAAAACTTCAGTGCCACAAAAGGCAGAGTTAACAGAAAGGTCCACCCAGGAAAGGCAGGAAACACTGCAAGCCAATGGGCTAACATAGAGAGTAAAGAACTACAATTCAGCCACAGCAAAGGTCGAAACAACACAACTGAAGACTCATAAGGACTATAACAGACGCAGAGCAGGAATGGCTAGGAAGAGAAATGCCAGTCAAACCTTGAGGAAGATGCACCCTCTACAAACACAGAAAACTTGGTATGAGGACCTGGAGAAATCTGATCCCTTGTGTGCTGGCTGGGATGGAAGGGAAGTGGTGCAGTCACCCTGGAAAGCAATGGAGAGGTGTCTCGAAAAAATCAAAACTGGGCTGAGACTACAGCTCAGCAGTAGAGGGCTTGACTAGTATATGTGAGGCCCCCAGTTCAATCCCTATTACTACTAAACAGCAACAAAAAGTAAACCAAACCACAATGTGAGCCAGCAGTGCTAGTCTGAATATCTAAAAGAACTGACAGCAAGCTCTGAAGGAAAAATAAGCACACTCATATGTTATGGCATTATTATTCAAAAGAGGTAAGAGCTGGAAGCAAGTTAGGTATTCAACAGCAGGTGAATCTATGAACAAAATGTTCGCTCTATGGAGGAAGGAAGGAAGGAAGGAAGGAAGGAAGGAAGGAAGGAAGGAAGGAAGGAAGGAAGGGCAGCTCGGCCACATGCCTCAGCATGGATGAGTCCTAGAGAGTACTGCCCTGAGGAAATAAACCAGCCACAGGGAAACCATCGCTACTGGACTTCACTTGTATAGGCACCATTTAATTTTTTAAAAACTGTGTATGCACATGTCTCTGTATCATTATGTGACTGCAGGTGTCCTTGGAGGGTAGAGGGAAAAAGAGCCAGATTCTCCTGGAGCTGGGGTTACAGGCAGTTAAGTGAGGCCTTAAGTGGGTGTGGGCACCAAACTCAGATCCTCTGCAAGAGCAGAAGCTGCTCTTAACCACTGAGCCATCTTTCCACACTAATGGGGTCATTTTAGGACCTCAGAAAGTGACCTGGTGGTTGACGATGGGTGGAAGGAGAGGCGGGGTGGGGGTCCTAGGGAGTTGTTTACAGGGACAGAACTTCTGTTTGGGAAAATGAGAAAGTTCTGGAGATCTGGCGGCTACAAGAGGAGTTTAGTTAACATTATTGCACTGGACACTTAGAAACAGTAGTGAGGGAGAAGGGGGCATATGTTTATCACCTCAACACTACAGAGAAGTGCCGATCTGAGCCAGGATCTACACAGGGGAACCACATCCAAAAGATGAAGTTGGTGATGGCGGTTGTATAAAAAGCCTGTAATCCCACTAGTCAGGTGCCTCAGGCGCCGGTGTGGGCTGCATAGCAAGACCCCATCTAAAAAAAAAGAGAAAGAGAGAGTTGAAGACGTTCTTCTTCACCCCTAGCCTCTGCCTGCCTTCTATACCCCACCCCCTCTGCGCGCCCCTTTCTCCTTTCTCTTACAAATTAAGCGCCAAGCAGGTCTTTCTGTCCCACAGCTTCCGAACTGAGTGTGGCTTCACGCCTGGCCAGGTGCTTCAGGGTGGTTCCACGTACACCTCTCAGGGTTACCAGTTAAAGGCGCCCTGTAGACTTCCTCTATCCTCAGGGGTGCAGGGACAGTCTGAGAGAGTCCTCCGACCCTTCCGTCGAGCCCCAGGGCTAGCTAGGTAGGTGGGAACTCTGGGAGGCGTCCTGGAGGTGTTGGGAATCCTATGGAAGGGGCTCGGAGCCTTCTCGGAATCGTCGCAAGGTGTGGGTGCCAAGAGGAATGTTCCCTGCCCCCCCAGTATCAAAGTCCCGCGGTACTCTGTGTCTCCTTCAATAAAACTAATCCTTCGGAGGTGTGACCTGCGCCAAGAATGCCGCAGTATTCAGACTACAAGGGCGAATATGTTTTTCAGATTTGGATTTTATGGTCGGATTAAAGTTTATTTTCCATAATAGGACACCTAATAAAACGCATAAAGCCGGTCCGGGCTCCAGCTGGTGGCCTCGTTTAACACTTTCACTTCGTAAATCACTTTAGGGAGCACCAGGTGTGCGACGCAGGCGCGTGGAGGCGGCGGTAGCGACTCGGGTCCGCGCCCCGCATCACCACCGCCCGCGCGCAGCTCCCACCTCCCCGAATCCACTTTCAGCAGGAGGTGGAGCGGCCCGGGGTCACCTGCCCGCGGGGTTCCTTGCCGCTCGGCCCCGCGTCGACCCCGCATTCCGCCGCCAGTGCACCTGCCGCCCCGCCCCTGGTACACACGGTGCTTGACAATGCGCGGCTCCGACCCATTGTCCGTGGCGGCGCAGGGGCGGGACTCAGGGTGACACCCCCCCGCGGGCGCGGCAAGGGCGGGCGTGCGGTTTACCCAGCTGGGGAGGAACAAAGGCGCGCGCTTATCTCCCAGGTCCGCGCAACCGACCCCGGGGAGAGCCGCGCGGGGTCAGGCCTGGGGCGCGGGGCGGGACCCTAGGCTGGGACCGCGAAAGGGAAGTACCTGCCCACGGGCGGGCACTGTGAAACGGCTACCCCGGGGGAGTCCAGAGCTGCACCAGTCCTGTCTCCAGGACCTTGTTCTGCAGGGTGCTAGAACAGGACCCAGGAGCTATCTATGGCTGCAGTAACACGGCATGCTCCGACCCTGGGTTCAGTTCCCCCCTAGCGGGTCCCCCTTCTTTTCATAGGTTCCTGTTACAGCCCAGAAAGAGTTCTGGGTGTTTTCAAGAAAAATAAGGAGGCAGGCCATGGAAGTGGACGAGTGGGTTCGGCGACGGGTTAGTGTTGGAAGCCTACCCAATTTCACCAAGATGCCTGTAGGTTTTATATTTGTTATATTTTCATTTTCCTGATTAAAATGGTTCTTTCAACCATAGTATTTGTTTTTATGCCGGAATTCAATAAATAAAAGAAAAGGAAGAAAACAACAAAATAAACAAAAAACCAGAAAGGGGTCAGGGAGTGTCCGGGCTGTTATGAGCGGCGGTTTGTTCAGCTTACTGGGCTTGGGACTCCCAGGTGGTCACAGGCTGCCTGGGCTAAGCCCTGGCTTAGCTGCCTCTTGCAAACTGTGCCTCAGCCAGTGTCAGAGGCCCTTTCTGTGCAAACAGAGGCGCAGCTCTCAGGTCTGGATGTCTCTAGCTCTTCAAGTCAGGGCCAACACAGACAGGAAACTTGCAGTGTTTAAAAACGACGATAATAATTTACAAAGGGAATATACATCATCTCTTCCTCACAGGGCAGCTTGTACATCCTATCCCTCGCCTTCCAGGCCACTCCGCATCTCGGTCTCTTTATTTTAGATCTTCAGGCTCATGATCAGCCTCAGGTTAGGAACCTGTGCCACCCACTGCAAATAATCCAACCTGTGGGCCTTTCTTTTTCTTTTTTTTTAAAAAATTAATTTATTTTATGAGTATTTGTGTATTTGTCTGCAC